CTGTCATTGTGAGTGTTGTTTATATAGAAGGTATTAAAAACAAGGCTGTTAATATTTTATATACTTTATACATTGATTTTTTTTTTCTCTATTAATTAATACAGCAATTTGGGTTAATTTATACATTTCAAAGATTTCGAGAACTATACTTATGTCATTACTTTTGGACAATATAATTTACGATAGACGTTGTAATAGAAATTTAAATCGATTTTCTTATATTTAGTAAATGATTTTGAAGTAAACAAAAACCAAAAAAACAATTGTAATATTTAGAAGTTAAAAACAAAATTATCAGTAATATTGGTTTTTAAAATATGAGAATATAATTTAGCGAGGATTGTACTGATTTGTAGGCTGTTTCGTCGTGACTCAGTCCAAACTTAGTATAGACGTACGACAGAAAAAGAGCAAATCTATAATCTTCTATAGTTCTATATTATTAATAAGTTAAAGTAACATGAAAAAATTGTCCGAAACAAAAATATTAACAAGATAAAATTCAAATTTTGTTTAAACTATGCTTCAAAATACAAATAACATTTTGTGTGAAAAAGTATTATTTTGCTCTCATTGTTTTTCCTTAAGTATATATATTGCTCTACTAAAGAAAAAAAAAAAGCCATTTGCATGTATATCATCGAAACTATAATTCTAATATATATCTCTACTAAACGTGAAAAATCTCAGCTATAATTACTCTCATGTGGTAGTTCACAAATCACGCGTTCTATGTTTGATATTGATATTTATTTCATTTGGATACTCAAGATTAGTTTTGAATTTACAATCTAGTGATTAATGATTATGATAATCTCATGGTTAAACCATATGGGGCCATGAAGAATATTATTAATTTAACAGACTTTTGGTGGTTATATTAAGCATAATTAACTAACTTTTTTTTTTTTTTAAAAAAACATTCATCTGTCACGGACATAATTAACTAACCTTCTAAAACAAGGAAAATTAAAGACAAATGAGAAAATTAAACGAAAATCAAAATAGAAACTTCAAGCTATATTCATATTCCAAATAGAAACCACAATGAAGTTGAACCCAATACTTGGCTTCTCAACATACATGATAAATTTTCAACCGTGAGATCACCATGAATTGCTTTT